CCGATGTACATGATGCACACAATGAGAAGACTGAGGACGTCGAAAGATTTCTACCCGCTTATCAACATCGATCAAGTCTATGAACTTGTGCATCACAAAACCTACACTCTGGCACTACTCAACCCTTTGCTCATGCAAGTGGCGGTAAGCGGCTAAGAATTGACGCATGAGCATCCATGCTGATGCTCATGGATAACCTAGCCATATCTGAACTAAAATTACGTCTCCTCGGCAATAGTGTAATCAGCCTATAACCTGAGGAGAAACAAGCCGTGGTCGGTTACAAATACCGATCCATAGCTTAGCAGACTTTTGGTGAAGCCTTAATAACGTTTATTTTCTGATGCATACTGATTCTGAAAGTTTCTGTTAATATTTTTGATCATAAAATGGGTACTACCGAAAATTCTAATTTTTTGTATAGTCTCGAAATTAATGACTGAATTTAAGCGATGTCTTACACGTGTCGTGCACCGCTGCAGGAACCAACCACCAGAACATCGCTCCAGGAGAACAAAGACGAAGAAGATGAGGATCACAAGGAGCTCAGGGTAAGCAGGCTCTTAAAGCAATGGAGATAATAGAATAAAGTTGGATCTATTCATTGCCAAAAATTATTCTTTCCGTCCATTGTTTTCAGTGAGGGAGTTTGTAGCTGAAAATTTGTATATGTCGTGCCAAAATCGTAGAATTGCCGATTCTATAGAATTGGCAGCCATTTGCCGAATCTGTAGAATCAGTATTTCATCGTAGATTCGGAAAATCAGACGTCAGAGTCAGAGTTGGAACATAAATCGACAGTTAGAGTAAGAAAAGGTTAGGTCATGCTCTGTCCAGTACCTCTATATTTAAATATTAAAAAAATACTTGGCTGACTGACCTAACCTCAGATTCGAATCAGTCAGCCACGTACTTCAGACCCCAGATTCTACAGATTCGGCAACTGGCTGCCGATTCCATAAAATCGGCAATTCCGCGATTTCGGCACGACATATATAATGAACCAAAATCCAACCGATCTAATGCATTAAGGCCCTAGGAAGCATGGGCGTTTGAGAAATAAGGAATTATCTAATTAAATGGTCTAAATTTTTATAAAATACTCTTGTATATATTATATTCTTTAAACCAATGAATGGCAGGTATTGCATGAGCCATTTTTATTCAGACTTAGTCAATCGTATAGGCCTTTCGTTCTCTAACAATACATCAGCTAATACTTCTGAAAATATTATAACCGTATCGAATGAATGAATAAAGTGGTTTAAATTTAAACATTTTTTGTTGTGTGGCAGAAAAAACTTCAAGAGGTGCGGGAAAAGCGGCTGAAAGCAGGAGCGGTCGCGGCGCAGACAACCGACACCGTGACAAAAAACAAAGACGAGCTCGTAGATTTGAGCATCAGAATCTCAAATTTGAACGATCTTAGAACTGAGAAGCTGCTGTTTATGTTTGCAAAACATTTTCTGAAGATAGCAAAGTTTTCAAACAAGTTTAAGGCTCATCCACAAGCATACAATTACATCCACTACGCAAACAATCTTTTGGAACTACTCCGTGATGAGAGAATCGAGGCAAAAGAGTCTGTAGACTCAGTAAAACTGACGAATTTACGAGAGAAGATAAGGACTGAGAAGAGCATCACTAGACAAGGACTTAACGCAATGCTGAACACAACTCATTGCTTGAGGCCTAACCTTGAGATTAAACTGGCGGATCAACCGCGCTCCAACTGGGAAATGCGACCCAACGTCAATAAATCCGAATATTCTTCGACGTCTGGAGTAGTTCGGCGACCTGATTCATCAGTTTTGAAACCCATTCCAAAAATCAGCCGCGATATTAAACTATCCCAGACGTCAATGGCAATTGGAATATCAAAGTCGATCGCAAACATGCCCAGTGTGCAACTTGACTCAGATTCTAGTGAGTCTCAGGGTCTGGAAGGTCACGATGGAACAAAGTCTCAACAACCACCGACAGCCAAGAAAAGTAAAAAACCGGACAAGCCAAAGAAAACAGAAATAAGTAATCATGATGAATTGGTAGCAGTAGGTAATACAAACGCTCAAAAAGGCATCGATGGTTCTGACAAGACTGAGGATAAAGAAAAAAAGAAAAAGAAAGACAAGAAAATAAATGAACACAAAAAAACTAACGAAGAAGCGCCCGTGGAAGTTACGTCGATCAAAATTTCAGAAATTAAAGAGCAGGAGGTGCAAGCTGAAGTGATCGTAAAAACGAAGTACGAAGCACCACAGAAAAAACTGGGGGAAGAAGATGAATCTGAGAAGAATGAAGATGCACCACGAGTGAAAAAAGAGAAGAAAGGAAAAACTAAGCAACAAAAAAGTTCTGCAAAAGAAAATACACTGAAAAATGTTGCGGATGTCGATGCTGTTCCAGCCAAGAAAGAATCAAGTGAAAAGAAAGTAGAAGATGACAGCAAAAGTGGCAGAAATGCCGGCAACGCAACAAATGATGAAATTGATACCGGTGGGACTGCGGTTAGCAAGAAAAGTAAGAAATCAGCTGAAGATAAGAGGGAAAAAAGTGAGAAGCCGGTTCTAGATACGCAGGAGAAAGATGGGGAATCGGTTGAAAATAACGTAGCTAATAGTAAAAAATCTGTTAGAGATAAAAAAACGAAAAGTGATTCCCAAAAAGAAAAGTCACCTGCAAATGGAAATATCATAGTGAATAAAGAAGAACCAATCATTAGAAAGGAGAAAGCCACTCCAGTAAATGAGAAAGGAGAAGTGAAAGCTATTAGCACGAAGACAAAAGAAAAAGCTAACGAAAAGGAGGAGACTAAACTGCCTGGAGAAACGAGTAAAAACAATGAACTTAGAAAAGAAAAAGACGACCAGATGATCAATGTAGAGAAGAAGGAATACAAAGATAGCAAAAAAGGCGACAAAGTTCACGAACGAAAAGAAAAAAGTGAATTAGAAAGTCAGAAAAAGACAAAGAAAGAAAGAGAAGAAGTAAAAAATGAGAAAGTGAGAAAGAATAACGTAAGTGGAGAAATTGGGACAGATGAAAAGAAAGTCGGTACGAAAAAGAGTGTAGGCGGAGAAAAAATTGTAGGAAGCGAAGATGGCCAAGGACTTGAAACAAATAATTCAAAGAGCGGAAAACATAAGGAAATGAAAAAGCTCAGCGAGAATGAGCGTAAAAAATACAAAAAGGAAACGGATGCTTCGGAGAAAATGAACGAAAGCACTGATCAGGGAAAGGAAGATAAAAAGAAGGAAGACAGTAGAAAAGAAAAGGTAAAAAAGGAAGATGAAAATAAGATCCAAAAAATAGTTAATAGTTCTCCTGGTGACAAAGAAGACAAAAATGGCGAGAAAATCACAAAGAAGGAGAAAAAACGAGACAAAATTGCTGCGACACCAGGATCTGGAAGAGAAGAGACCGATACAGAGGCCACCACAACAACCGAAGCAAAGAAGAACAAAACGGGTGAAGAGAAAACTCGTAAGGACAAGAAACACGGAAAACCAAGTAACAAAGACGGCCAAAATGCAAATGCTGAAGTAAAGACGGATGGAGATTCTCGAGAAAATAAGAGCGTTAGGAAAGAGAAGACAGACCAATCGAAGAAAAAAGAAAGAGAAAGAGCAGAAGCTATTGAAGAGAAAAAGGACAATGAGAAGGAAAAAACAATGAAGGAAAGAGAAAGGAAGAAGAAAAAAATAGAGGAAGATCAGGCAAATGAGAAGAAAGGAACTACGGAGAAGAAAATAGAAAAGAATGAAATCAAGCACGACCAAGATGCAGAGAAAAACGCAGGTAACAAGAATGAGAAGAAAACTGATGAAAATGTGAAAGTTAACATTGAAAAAGAAAAAAGAAAGAAAGATGCGACAAATAAATTAAAATCGGAAAAAGATAAAGTCCCAGATGCAGGTGTAAAGAAGAAGAGCGAAAAGAAAACGAAGAGTGAAAAGCCCTCTAGCGCTATTGGAGGAGCACCAGGCGTGTCAACTACCAGCCGAGTTCCTACAGCGGAATCTAGTCACAAAAAATCCAAAACCGAAAATGTCAAAAACACCGTTTTATAGCAGACGACATTTAGAATATGTATTGGTTAATTCTTGTGCATTTGGCTCCCTAGTCTTGCACTGGTGCTCTTTATACGTTAAAAACGCGACAGAAGTTTAAGTAATTTAATTTAAATTCTAAACGAATAAACTTTTTAACGGTGAAAATAACGTACATAGCATTGACCAATCCTCGATCATTAACAATGAGACATCACTCTGCTGTAACTCCTATGTACTGTAGCCCAAAGAAAGTTCCAATTTTTTTCTAAAGGCTTTTCACGGACCGCCTAAAGGAATATCATGGTACATACAAAAATTAAATGACTGGGCGTTCCTATTTCCATATATTTCATTGTTGTGATTTATTGATTAATTTTAGTTTGGTAAATTGAAACTTGAAACTCTCACAATTTATGAGGAAATTTTTGCAAATTATGAGTTGAGACTACTATACTGTACTATACTATACTCGTATTTATGAAATGATTGAAATATTTCTGTTTCTTTAAAACCTGAATCATTACGGGTACACTAGCACTTGATCACAATCACGAATATTTGAAAATTGAAAGTAACTTATTTTCTTTTGATTTTTATTTTTTAAATATTTTCGTCGATATAATGTATCATAAATATTTTTGTAGATAATTCGTAGCACACGACTTCTAGTCCGGATGGTAGTGTTTTCTGACGAAATTAGACTATTTGAGTAGTCAAGCTCCCCAGGACATAACAAATACAATATGTAAAGAATAAAAATCTCCAAGAAATAATAATCGAAATTTTCCTGATCTGCCAGGGGCCATACTTTCAAAACTCGCTAAGTGACCGTAAGTACTTACGCTCTATTTTCTTGTCGATGATTGGTGGATTTTGCTCGAAAGGCCGTCAATGATTGGCTGATGAACTTACGATCTCTTAACTTTTTTTGAAAGTATAGGCCCTTACCTCGATCCCATGAGTTGTTCCGTAGAAATCTGCAGTTCCCGTGGAGCCATAGAGTTTGTAGCCCATTTCTGCCAGCAGGCGGGCGGACCGAAGAAATTCAACTTTGTGCTAGAATTTAAGAAAAAAAAATCATAAATTAATATGATGGTCGCCCAATTAGCCATTATCTGCTGAGCCTTATTGCTAACAACAATTGAAACGATAGATTCCGTGACATTCTTAAATATATTATTGGATTGTTGGCAAACGACGTTTACACAATTCGCGACCTGCGAGTCTGGAGAAGCTGAACTGGGGCACTTTGACACCGACTCTACCGCAGCCGCGCAGCACTTCGATGGGCTGGACAGGCTCCCCCACGATGGCCCGCGTCGCACACGCTACGAAGTTGTAGTCCAGAGTCTTGCTCACGAACGGGAATGAGCGAGACACGCGCAGGTTCGTCTCGATAACCTTCAAATGGTTGTCCTGCAAAATCAAGTGAACATAAAAACAACCTGTAATTAAATCATATAACGGAAAAACAACTAAAATGTTTATGAATGTTGATTATAGTTATATTCGCTGTTATGCAATCAAATTAAACTTGGATTTTCTTGGTATGAAACGGACATTGCTAGCAATATCCGATTATTTTCAACAGCTTATCCTCAATTAAGCCATATTGCAGCCTAAATTTTTATTATCATAATCAACTCGCTTTAAAATGGCTTCTAGCCTTTATGACGCATTTATAACCAGTGGAACAAATAACCTACCGGTGTTTTATAGTTTATTCGCCATCTTAGAGATAAATAGCTTGGTGCATGGGAAACTCCTGGAGTTCTCAACCTTTCAATGCTTGATCGTTTCTAACCCAATTCACTGAAGGTCACAAACCTTAGCAATGAGCTGCATGTTGAAGGGACCCGTGACTTCGAGATGCTTGCCAATAGCAGCGCAGATTGCCGTAATTTTGTTCAGAGTTTCTTGGTTGAGGTCCTGCGGAGGAGTAACGAGGGTAGCGTCTCCGGAGTGTACCCCTGCGTTTTCAACGTGCTCGCTGACTGCCAGACAGATGAGCTGGCCTTCGTGTGCTACCGCGTCAACGTCGATTTCCTGGAAGTAACCAATTTTTGTTTAACCCATATGTACTTTAACGTTGGGTGCATGTAGAAACTTATTTACATGTACTCAATGTAATTTGCGTAGATTTCCTGAAAAATAAATCATTTCGCGGATAAGGAGAAGGGCAAAGTGTGCATAGACCAAATATTTTGAAATACATTCACATAATAAAAAACAATATTATGAGATGAAAAATCCGGATCAAAAAGGAATGAAACCAATCAATATAAGCACCTTGGCACCAAGAATAAATTTGGTGATGACGACAGGACAATCTTTGGAAACAGCGGTGGCCTGGTTGAGGTAATCCTCGAGGTCCTTGTGGCTGTTGGCGACGTTCATGGCGGCTCCTGACAGCACGTAAGAAGGACGCACCAGGCACGGGAAACCAACTTCGTCGCAGAAACTTTGCGCCGTCTTCAGGCTCGTCAATTCCTTCCATCTGAAAATGCTCATGAAGCTTAATTGCTATCAATGATACTATAGTTGAAATATTCGTATAAGAAAAAAGCAAGGATATCATATCTACTAGAAGCGTACTTTTTATGCAGACCAGGCAATAGGTGTAACTAACAAATTTTGAAAGACCGGAATTACCGCGGCTGCGAGATGCCGATGCCATCGAGCATCCTGGAAAACTTGAAGCGGTTCTCGGCTCCGTCAATTGACTCTGGCGAGGTGCCCAGAATCCTGACTTTCTGGCGGTGTAGGTCCATGGCTATGTTGTTTGGCAGCTGCCCACCCATGCTTAGGATGATGCCCACAGGCTTTTCAATCTGGTAGATGTCCATCACAACCTGGAAGATAGAAAATAGAAGGCATGATTTAAAAATAATTTCGTAAGAATGATGCAACCTTTAGATGCAATGTTTTCGCATCGCCTGACAGTCCAACCTGATTTGCCTTTCCATAGTACCGTTCTTATATAACGACTCACGCACACGTTAGTCATAAAACTATTTGAGCTATAACTAAATAGCCACGCAATATACTTTTTTTATATTTTTCCCTATATCATTATTCTCATTAATCTGTTTATTAATTTATTAATCTGTTTATTCTCATTAATCTGTTTATTATTAGAATAATGATATAGGGAATCATTATTCTCATTAATCATTCCCTATATCATTATTCTCATTAGTCTGTTACCTCGAAAGAGATTTCGTCGAAATACAGCCTGTTGCACTCGTCGTAATCAGTGGACACGGTCTCAGGGTTGTAGTTGACCATGACGGTGCGTCTGCCCAGCTTACGCAGTTGCCGCAAGCACTGCACGGCGCACCAGTCAAACTCAACCGACGACCCGATGCGGTACACTCCCGATCCTGAAATTTTGGGAAAAATCTATGTGGAATTCCATTTATTGTTTAATTTATTCCCATACCTTTACTTCCCATACATACATAGCACAATAGTTTTTTTCATATTAAAGCTCTAGTGAAATAGATTCCGGAAAATGTACGACTTAAAATATATTTAGACAAATCTTAAAATGTTTCCGTAACAATAGTCAAACCAAAGTTGCAGTTCAGAATTAACGGATACTATTACTCCAATTGAATACATAGTTATTGTTACCATTAAAATTCTCTTTATAAGCCTAAATTTCGTCAAAATAAGGGAAATATCCTACTGACCGATAACCATAGTCGCGCCAGGATCCTCAGCAAGATCCGAGGTAGTTCCGTTGTAGGTGAGGTAGAGGTAGTTGGTGCAAGCAGGCCACTCGGCAGCTACAGTGTCCACCTGCTTCACCACAGGCAACACATCTGATGGGAAAAAAAACATTTTATATCTTCAACCATATTGCAGGAAAAAAATTACCGATGCTCAAGAAATTGATTGTATTAGGTACTTTGAGTTACTAGAAATTCTAAACAAGAACAGATGACCAGAATCTGTAGGGGCAAGAAAATCAAGGAACATTCATGAACTTTAATTCAACCAACCTCTTCTTTATGGTTGCATGACTTACGACAAGTGGAGGAATTTTTACACAAAAAAATACACGAAATTTTTTTAAATAGATGAATCAATGCGATGAAACGAACTTGTATTTTGCCGTTGCGTGCGCACTGCAAGTTCCGTCGAGCTGACGGCGCCTGCGATTTGCTTGTCAGAGAAGCCGAGCTGCTTGGCCTTCGTGAGGAGACTGAGAGGAAGCTTGAGGGGCAGCTCCCCAGACGGCTGGGACTCCAGCTCATTGTAGGTTCCGATGATATTCTAATGTAGGGAAATAGTGCAGGTACCAGGTACAAAATAAGCTACGGTGTAACAGTTCTTTTTATTTTACATGAGCAAGGGCATATTGCCTTGATTTTGGGAAAAATCAAGGAAATAAGGAAATAATTTGTAAGGTTAAGGTAGGTCACCTGATTTTTTAATCAATTCATTTATTTTAGATTAAAACCTGGTCCAGTGAACCGTAGAGTTATTGTTTTATTTTGGAACAAGTTCTATTCATAAGTTAAAGACTCGCTCGTTAGTTTACCTTGAGTTTGTAGAGGAACCACTTGTCGATCTTTGTGAGGTCGTAGAGTTTGTCGAGCGACCAATCAAGTTTGAGTGCTGCAGCCAACACAAGGAGACGTTTGTCCGTAGGTTGGGACAGCTCCTAAAATGAACAAAATTTATTTAACACTGAAGAACATTATATGATCATTTTGAATCTTTTCTACACTTAAAACAATAGCAATTCCATCGCTTGAACTTCATCAGAAATAAATAGAATAAATAGAAATAAATAGAAATAAATAGAAATAAATTACTTCCTTGAAATAAATCTATTTTCATTATGGACCGTAGTTCAAATTCCAATAACGATGCTCAGTTTGGCTCGATGTAATTAATTTTAAATTGAAACTGTGACATCATCTATTCAAGCAAGAAAATACTTAATACACTAAATTACCTTCTTAAAGTATCCTGAATAAAACGCTTTAGACTTCAAATAAAATTATTTCACAATCATCTGCAGAACGCAATGTGAACCTTAATGGAACCTTGTTTTCTTTAAATTGAAAGGTCTGTCATAGAATTTCTATCAAAATGCCATTATCATTTCACTAACCAATGCCGTTGTTATTTAATTATCCAGCGCCATTTACTTCGTTAAAAGCCCCCAATACATGCAAACATTACCTTCTCATCGGCGGCGCGATGGTACGGGTCAAAACCAATTAGGTTCTCGTCCATCATGCGAATGGCTTTCTGGATGGCCTCTTCGAAGCTTCGCCCAATACCCATCACTTCACCCACACTTTTCATGGAGCTGCCGATCTGGAGGCAGCAAATACATTGTAAACTGTATAGTTTCTGATAAATAAAATGCAACTTTTAAATTTTGCCGTGAAATATTTCAAATTAATTTCGGTTTTTGCAAGTAAATTGATTGCAAATTGGCCAATTATGTTTCAATTTTAAATTATTGCAGTAAAACTTGAGTTCTCGATGCCAGGCTGCAAAATCCAAACGCTTATTTCTCTCAACAGTGTAGAAGTTAAATGTTACCTCTTCATACAGAATCAAATCAAACCGTGAGCTTCACTTAGATAATATATTTCATTCGTATTNTTTTCAAAATTTTAATAACAATCCTGAATTTTGCCAGGATATCATGCAATGATAAAATAAAGTTCCTCACCTTCGACGAAACGCCGTTGAACTTAGAGAGATCCCATCTCGGCAACTTGACAACGCAATAGTCTAAGGAAGGTTCGAAGCAAGCTGTGGTTTTGACAGTTGCGGGGTTTGGCAAGTCTGGCAAAGCTTTGCCCAATGCCAGTTTGGCAGCAATGAATGCCAGTGGAAAGCCAGTGGCTTTGCTGGCCAAAGCAGAGGAGCGAGAGAGTCTTGCGTTGACCTGGTAGGAACGAGCAATGATATATGGTAACTAAAAAAAAATTAGTGATGGATGCAATTTTCATCACATTCTAATTCATGTGCGCATTTTCCTTTGCAGTGAACAGGTAAAGTGTATTTTTATTAGCAGTCATATAAAAACTTCGACGATCCATAACAACTGGATTCCGTATTGTTACTCTCTTATCTTTGATTGTTTTATTCGCCTCACATACCTCAATGATATAGTACTGCTCGGAGTACGGGTTAAGGGCGTACTGGATGTTACACTCCCCCATGACTCCCAGTCTGCGGATGACTTTAAGTGCAGTGCTGCGCAGCATCTGGTACTCTCTATTGCTCAGTGTCTGCGATGGAGCCACCACGATGCTCTCTCCCGTGTGTATGCCAAGGGGGTCCATATTTTCCATGTTGCACACCTGGCCAAAAAGATAAGATTGATAAAAATAAATTTCACTTGATTGGCTGAAACCTAAGGAATAAAATGAGCAATACCTGGAAAATGAATTGGAAGGCTTAGGAAAGCTGAACAAAAAACAAAATTATTAGAAGCTTCTAGGACTTGGACACCAGGATTGAAAAAAATCCATAAATCCTTGTTTGATTACAATATTTTTCTTTGCGATACTCGTGGCAGCTCAAAACAATTTAAGATTAAATATCGAGATGGGAGTGTTTGTGACTAAAAGAAATATGATTATCAGCATGTAAAAAAATATGACTACGAGCATGTTACTCACAGTGATGCAGTTGTCGTAGGCGTCGCGGACCACTTCGTACTCTACTTCTTTCCAGCCCTGAAGAGATTTATCTGCGGAAAACGAACGCGTGTAAAAAACGCGATTAAAAACTTGAGTTTTACTGCACAATCCAGAACCAAAGCCTGAGTTTATTTGGAGAACTTTTGACCGCTCAATACCAAAAGATATATAGGCGTCGGCAACTAAAAAAATTATTTGGAGGTACATTATAGCGATATCTGCTGCCAGTCGTATTCTCCATGTAATTTGTACTTGTTTAACTATACTCAATATAAATCGTTTATTGTCTATTAATTTACTCAGATCATAACAAATTCGTCTGCTTGTCCCTGATATTGTACATAGATGAACCGAAGACCGGCTTGATATACAAAGTCATTCTTATGTACGCAATCGAGATAGGAACATATTCACAAGACAACCATAGAATCTATACAGGAAGTATTAGTTCATTAGGCATAAATTGGTTCATTGCTCAATTATGCATTCAAAATTTTGAACGATTCATTTCAATGTCTCATGAAAAAGTTAGAAGGAGTTCCTCCGACATGCTGGGCCAGTAGGTGGGTCCAACTCACCGATGATGACTTGTGTCGAGTGGGCGAAGGCGTGGGTGACGATGGTCCTGAGCTCCTGAGGGTTGTTGGCAAAACCCGACCCCAGCCCGCCCAGTGCATACGCTGCTCGCGCCAGCACCGGGTAACCGATCTTGGCTGCCTCATCCAGGGCCTATCAGGACATGACTTTTAAAAATAGTGGACAAAATAGAGGGCCTACGAGCACAACTTTTAAAAATAGTTACGGTCTTACAGACGCCTTTAATTATTATTAACCTTCACTCCTAATTCATTTGTGATGTCTGTGATTATCTTTCACAGTTGAACATGAGCCGCCATTTTAGGTTCGATTGAAATAATGTTCGGAAAATCTACTGAGTTCTTAGACGAGACGAAGGTGGGAATTTTTTTAATTTTTTAGAAGTCAAGTAAGTGATGGTCTACTTTTGCGAAATAATGCACTATAATAAGCATAGGAAGTAGTATGTTGTGAAGATAATATATTATTGCTTTTATTTTTTTAAATCAAAATCATTGTATTTCGATATCACTAATTCAGGAAGATATTCTTGGTGACGATAAAATGATCATAGTATAAGGACACGGCAATCTTAAAATTTCTACAAGGTTCATTAGCATTTGCGATGCCATACATGTCGTTATAGCAAATAACCTCAAATTTCATTCACACGGTATAGCTCATCGTTATGAAGGCAGCAACAAACCTCCTGCACGGAGTAGACCGAGGCAGATGGCGCCACCTTCTCGCCGATGCTGGCGATGAGATCAGCGAAGAGTTTACGGTCCTCGCTTAGGATGATAGACTGAATGGGCGTGCCTAGGATTTGGACGCCATACGTGCTCCAAACTCCTTCGGACTCCAATGTAATTCCGCAGTTCAGCGCCGTTTGACCGCCGAAAGTTAGCAAGACGCCGTCGGGTCGTTCACTTTCAACCACCTGAATAAATTGAAGCTCAAATATTGTGTTTATGGGAGAAGCGACCACATTTAGGTTCGTCATCTAACCACATTCTGATATCAGGCTTCTGCCCCACAATCGCCACATATATTTGGAGATTTGATTTTGACTGAAGTACGAATTTTTTTCTTTGATGGGTGGTTTACTGTACGAAAAATGAATCCCGTTAAAAAAAGGTATCGTTGATCAATATTCACATGTATTCAATGCGTACAGAAATTTTTTCTAAACTCGGTGGTTATTAAGGAATTTCTAAATGATATTTCAGCAGGAATTGTTATATGAACTAAGATATTAAAGTTCATCCTCTATATTTCTATTTTGAAATAGATAGAGCAATCTAGCTTAGCAGTTGGAGGAGTAATATCGTGATATTATTTTCCAAAAGTCTACGTTAGATTTGGCTTTTTATTTTTTATTCTTACCCTAACAAAATTTAGAGTCGCCCTAGCTTCTGGTAATCCAAATCAGAAGCTGCTGCGTCTGTAAATTTTCACTGGGTAAGGCTTGAATTTTGAGTATAAATAGATCGAAACTTATTTCCCTTATTTTACCTGCTTGACAAACTCTGGAGAGATGGGAGAAAAGTAGACCTTGTCTGCAAGACCTTTGGTGGTCTGTACAGTCGCGATGTTCGGGTTGATCAGCACCGTCGAGATACCTTCTTCGCTCAGAGCTTTGATTGCTTGAGATCCTGCAGTACAGAATGAAACATTAGAAAATACTCAGTGGAATTTAAATATAGGCTCATATATCTGTATACTGTAGTAAGACTTGGAACTGATATAGTATAAATTTTTACCGGCAGGATGCATAATTAATTTATTTTTAAATCTCATCAAAAGGCTACATTTACAGTCATCATTTCAATCACAATTTAATGAATACTTTCTGGTAAACAGGCCAATTTGAGAAAAATTCACAAGTTCGTGTTAAACTCAATCGCGCAGTGGAACCATTCGTACCTGAGTAGTCGAACTCTCCTGCCTGGCCAATTGACAAACCGCCGGATCCAAGTAACAGAACTTTTTTCAGTTTTTTAGTCGGAATGAAAGGTCTTGGAACTTCTGGATCAGGTCTGAAATAAACAAGTAAGTGATTGAAACATCTTAAAATCGTCATTACCACTGGTTCAAACATTCAACAGAGAACACATTAGATCGATAAAATTTCGGACAACAAATTAATTTATTATACTGTATTTGCCGAGAACCATTTAATTTAATTAAGAATAAAAAAGCAGTACCTAGAGTTAAAAACATAAAACATAAATCAAATGAGGAGTGAGGCACTAACATATATTCCAGGTGCTCGGAGATTCTCCTCGGAAGCTCCCAAGACTTCTTTTGCGAGCCAAGTTTTGAGAGTCGCGCCAAGTCCAGGAAGAAATCAAAGAGAGACTCTAAGTCCTGAGGGCCGCCGCAGTGTTCAGGATGGAACTGGACACTGCAAAGTCAATAAAGTCCATTAGAAACTAATATACGCACGCACACAAGAGCAAGTGTGTGGAAGAAAAAGGAAAATAAGGAAAAGAAGGAAGAATAAGGAAAACTGCATGTATGAAAGTAATGGTTTTCAAGATGTGGTACTATATACTAGCATGCACGCGAGCCCCTCAAGTTATGCGCGCAAATTTCAGTTGTTGCGAACGATTTTCAGCTATAGTTGACTTTTACCTCAAAAAACTGCTTACTCCCTAGCATAAGAATATCTGCAATGATTTATAACTTCTGCCTGCTCGTAGTCGTCCATCGTTGAATCAAATAATTGCACCTTCCTAATTTTTTATTTTAGACGCATTTTGGCATAATATAGTGCAAATTTTATTAGAAAATTTTGGCGACTAATATGGAGTATTAGCAGTGAGCTGTGATACCTGGTGTTACGCTGCCATTATTTAGAGGAAAATATATCGGATTGTGTACTCACATACTAACTTGACACGCCCACACTTTCCCACACTGTGCGTTTGAAAGTATATCGGATCTGATCACATCAGAAAAAACGTTTTTAGATGGTTTTAAGGCAATAAAATTTTTGATAATTGGCATAAATATCTTACCTAAAGAAGGGTTTTGAGACGTGCACAATACCCTCGTTGCTTAGGTCATTCTTGTTAGTAAAGAGCGGCTGCCAATCAGAAGGCAAGGATTGCGCGTCAACCGCGTAGCCATGGTTCTGGCTGGTGATGAAACAGCGCTTGGTGCCTTCGTGCTGACACGGTTGGTTGTGGCCACGGTTGCCGTACCTGAAGAAATTAGTGGCCGGTGAATTCATTTACTGATGATTTAGATAATTCTCAGGAATGCATTTCGGTTGTTGGTGATTGATATGTTTCAGGAGATGTTTTCAACCAGCGTTATTTGAGTGCCGATTGAAAAATTATGTATCTGTGTTCGAGATACGAAAGGTCTATCTAAAGATTATAATTTTCGAATGCGAGAGAAAAATAAAAATGAGCGACTGTGATAACCATCACTGCATAGAATCATACTTCATTTTGTACGTGGCGCAGCCCGCAGCGACAGCGAGCAGTTGATGACCCAAACAGATGCCGAATATTGGCTTATCGGTTGACTGCAGCAGCTGCTTTATGTGACTCACGGTGACATCACACATCTGTGGGTCGCCTGCAACAATAGGGTGAATAAATGAAGACTGGCCATTCATTTTGTGAACTAATCATTTCTGAGCAAATAGGCTCGTGTATTTCAAACATGACGTTTCAACAGTCATGTTTGAAATACACGAATTCATGACGATTCAGCAGTGTATTTGATAAATTTCTAAACTATTTATGGGTCACTTGAACAATATTTTAATGTTAGACTCATGGTGAATTCCTCAATTCATAATAAAGTTCTCAAAAGTTAGTTACCGGGTCCATTGGAGAGGAAGAGAGCATCGTATTCAAGATCGTTCAATGGATGGTCCCAGGGCACCAGCGAGACCTTGGCTCCTCGAGATACAAGGCAGCGAAGTTGGTTGTACTTAAGACCGCAGTCAACCGCCACCACGTGGGGACTCCCGCCTTCGTTAAAGCATCTCACGGACTGTTGCAAATGAATCAATGTTTGTATACGAAATATAATGAGATAATCGAATTAATTGTTGTAAAATTGGTAAGGTTATAAGGCCAATGAATTCGATGTAGGTCGTAATAGTAAAAGTTAGTTTGTTAAATACTTATTAGCTCTATGTTGATTTTAGCAATTCACACTTAGAAGGTCGTTGTGATATAAATGCCAGAAAAATTGTAAATTGAAGCACCATTTGAATTTTTTATCATTGGTACTCACAATTAAGCTAATCCAGTTTGCAAATATTTTATTAGTAATATTCACATGAAAACATCCAATATCTTTATAATATAATGTTACTAGGATATCAGCGTCACATGAAATTATTTTAGCATCTTCTGCGTGAAATACTTTTCACCGTTTTCCTATTTAATAAAGAATCAATTTGAAAAGACACCAGCGAGATCTTGAAAAAAATATCTTTACACAATCCTATTAGGCTGGTGAGAATCAGTGTTCACAACAACGATGAAATTAAACACATCCTAAGACAGAAAAGTGCATTGTAAGGATCATAAATCCAGTCGACACATCGAAGTTTACCTGAACAGAAACTTTAGCCACGAGAAGTGCAATTAAATGGACATAAGTCCAGTAGACACATCGCAGTTTACCTGAACAGAAACTTTAGCCTCGAGAAATGCATTTAAAGGATCATAAGTCCAGTGGATACATCGCAGTTTACCTGAACAGAAACTTTAGCCACGAGAAGTGCATTTAAATGGACATAAGTCCAGTGGACACATCGCAGTTTACCTGAACAGAATTGCGGTTAGGGTCAACCAAAGGTGGAGCTTCTTGGCCGTCAACGACGATGCGGCCAAGCAGCGAGCCAGACGACCGAATCCTGGCACAAGCAGAAAATAATATCCAAGAGTTTAAGAGATGTCACTCGAAAGGTAAGATGTAATTAAATTTTTATGAATGGTTGCTCTGCGAAGGAGGTCTAATGTATGTTAACGTAACCTACAGAAGAACAATTAATATCAAAAACGTAACATCCAGATCCGCTCAAGTCTTCTTTGGTCATAAAACAAATTATACTTATAGACTAACTCGACCCGCCTTCATGTTACAAACTTATTCATCCGAGGAATATATTGAGAACATAATTTTATTTTGTCGTCGTGAATTGAAGTCCTCTTACATCTCTCTATGAAGATTTGCGATGTTAGGGAAAACGACGAGCGCTACCCCAGCTTACGCTAAAAAGTTGCTTGGTAAATTTTCTCCGCCTCTAAATCATCGCCAAACTTAGGTTACCATCATTTTTTGTCTTACATTCAACATAACGTTGAACAAAAAAATCTTCCTTCAAAAATCTGACTAAACTGTATAGGTAAACTCTTTGCCAAATCTAAAGGTTTCAATTTAAATGTTCAAAAAATAAAATATGAAATGGACCTGAAAAATATTCTTAAGCACAAATATTAAACTGAAAATTAATCAATTAAAAAATAAGAGTAAGAATTGTTTAGTGCAAATCGTTAATGTGAAATTTTCAACTAAATTAGTTAAACGGACTAAAATATACAACTTCATGATGATTGTTGGCTATGTGAATAGTGATAATAGAATCTATACTATCTATTTTGCCTGGCAATACAATGCTAAAATTAAAAATTTCAGAAGATATATACTGCATTACCTCTTGGTAAGTTCGCGGGTATCGATGCCCTGGATACCCGTGATGCCCTCACTGAGAAGCCATTGGTGCAGCGTCCTGGTGGAGGCCCAGTGGGAGGGCTCGTGGCACAGCTCTCCCACCACCAGACCACCCACCCACACTCGTGCGCTCTCAGTCCATCTGATAATAAATTGAAGCATATCAATATCAAGCACTAGAAAATCCTTAAGTCATTTAGGATGCCGGGTCTTTTGTCGTACATGGAGGACAACAATAAATAAATAAACTTCCTGGACATGCCGGGACTGAGATATCCGTCCATTTTTGACTAGAAATTAGCAAATACTTAACGCTGCACGTACGATTACTGCTATCAAATACCTTACGTTGCACGCACGGTTACTGAGACGATACTTTACGCGGAATGCACGAATCCAGCTATAACAAGTACCTTACATCGCACGCACGATTGCTGATACCAAATACTTTACGCTGCCTGTGTCGTGCCGAAATCGCAGAATTGCCGATTCTATGGAATCGTCAGCAGTTTGCCAAATCTGTAGAATCAGCATTTCTACACTATAGGAATCTGGGGTTAGGTCAGTCAGCCAAGTTCTTTTTTTAATATTTAAATATAAAGGAAATTGACCAAACTTGACCTAACCTTTTCTAACTCTAACTGTCGATTTATGTTCTAACTCTAACTCTAACGTTCTATTTTCTTAAACAGCAATGAAGTTCTAATTCTACAAATTCGGCAAACTGGTTGCTGATTCCATAGAATCGGCTATTCCGCAATTTAGCACGACACATGCACTATCACTGGTACCAGCGCACCTGGGTATGCCGTCAGGGTCGGTGTCGAAAGCAGGCACCCCGTAGTTGCCGACCAGCGGGTAGGTGAGGACGAGCAGCTGGTCGCAGTACGAGGGGTCGGTCAGGGCCTCGGTGTACCCCACCATCCCCGTCTGAAAGACTGCCGGAAAAAATTCTGTTGTTAGTTTCGTGAAATTTTATCGATTAGATATAGTATCACGCAGGTTTGACTATCATATGAAGGTATAATGCAAGGAAGCCTGCAGATCTAATTATAAAAAAATTTTAATAATGAAAGCCTGCTGTTCTTAAATGTTATCTCAAGCAAAATAGGCATTCGGGATTCATGAGTTTATTATGAGTGAATTACAAAAAAAGAACAAATCGCGGATTAAGAATGATGTATCGATCAAGAATACAGCCGAAAGAACAAAAAAAAATATCAAAATTGACAAGAGCTGAATAAAAAGATTCAAGAGTCAAGACCTGAAACCAACAAAAATTATAATGAGAGGATTTAATAAAGGCAACAAAGCAACAATTGACTATCAGTTGATGAAATAACGAGTACAATATGCAAATGCGGTGAAATATGGCAACAGAAGCCGCAGAGCACGCACCGACTTCGCCGGCAGAGGGTCGCGCGGCTCCGAACAGCAGACCAGGGAAGCGGGAGCCATCGGAGAGCTCAAGAGCGCCGGGTACAGCAGCGGCACTATCATCCTGCTGGGGGTGACATGGTAAATAACTGAACTATACACAGAAGAACTAGACATTGACACATAAACAAACTTGTATTGAACAAAATAGTGAATTGGATATAGGTAACTGATAAATAAACATTAATAATTCAAGAAATCCGACTAGCCAATCCTATTCTGCACAATCGGTCCAACAACATACTTTAGCCAGCGACGCCGTACATGACAAGACCGATTGTTTACTAAAGGTTCTAGAAGTCGGTTTCTTTTACCCTAAAATGATACATGATAACTATTACCCTAAATTACAAAAATATTGATACAAAGATATTATGAATAAATAATGAATGAGCGGATTCATTTTGCGATAGAGACTCAATAAGTAACTCGGTTACAATGACACGGTGAGCAGTGAAACAACGTAACCTGCATCACGTAATGCCTCATGACAGTTAGTTAAATGCCAATGAGTATTATTAGTTTATCAAAAATTACAAACGACTATGGAAATATTACAAAACACCGCGATCAATTCGGGTGTAGCCAAATTCGACAAAATTTTAATTAGGGATTTAAAAAAGACTTACAATGGTATCGCAAAAGGTTACAATCTTTGACGTTTCTTGGTAGGGTATAAATATTTTTGTACATCACTTTAAATTGCATAATGGGAATAATATGGGGAATTCAATATATTTTATTGATTTCTTATGCATGAGTTCGAAACCATGATACTGCAAACGGCGCTTTGAATGTCGATCATTCAAGACCAGAAGGATGTTAGGTTGGAAGTTTTCAAGCTGAGCGATTGAGCAAAAGTCGCGGAAAAAACTGCTGAGGCAAGCAAACTTCAAAAATCAAATTCAACGAAGCCAAAGAGGTTAGATCGGGTCTTAGAAAACCAATACCATGACATTCCAATATCGAGTTTATGGAACTTATTCTAATGTAATGTGAACGAAAAAGCTACATCAGCATTATTATTTTGCATGCCGTTATATTTGAATACTGAATAAATGTTTAACTGTTATTGACGTGGAGTCATGATACATTTCATGTACATATCATAAATTATTATTATTATTACATGAAATGGGTCATTGTATGTATCCGATTTTTAAAATCGTTGAAGCATAAACTTTTCAAGTTATCGACACCCTCATATTTGGTTCACTTTTTATGCTTATTAAGATTATGATCGGTTTTTGCTTATCCGTGCGAAACGTTTGCTGCAATAACGAACAAAGGCTTTTTAACGACACCTCTAATTGAAACACGACTAATTATTCGTCCAATATTTTGATCGAATTTTATCATATAAACTGTATTCTCTTCTTTATTTCAGTCAACGTGCCTTCAGACAGAAATTCTTCACCTACGATCCACCTTTTATGCTTGAATTGCATTATAGAAATTAGTCAACTTTTTGAAACAATGAAAAACCCAGCAAAAGCACATAATAACGCAGAAGATGAGCCGTGAAAAAAAAAATACAACAATGCACCTTGACCGACGCACCTACATTTTTTGACCCACGAGCCATGGATCTAATTTGGTGCGGTGGCTCAAAAAAAATCATCTAAGCGATGAACAGGTACACTATAACGACAGTGAGAGAAAACTGTTAAGAACGTACTTCGTATTACTGGACATAATTTAACGTTTCAAAATCATAAAACTAAGTTTACACAAATATAAAAAATTAAATGAACATAATTTCTGTTTGCTCTGGGATTCCAGATGCAATTATTCCCATTTATAAAAATTATTCGGATGAAAATGGCAATATGATTTGGGAATATGCTTTTTTAGAGGCGAATAGCATACCGACCTTGAGATGCACTACATAAAAAGAAAAAACACGCGAGATAGGCTATCAGTATAAAAAACGTGTGCCGCAACAAAAACGTTCACCAGGTACAATTAAACGTAGAGGAGCTTTCCGGGACTGAACAGTGAATGAAATAATTCATATTATTCATTTGCGTCGCAGGTCTCACTTCACTTACTTCACTAAATATGCAACGCAAGCGGTTATCTGTTTTAACATTTGGCAATATGAATAGTCTATGTTTTTGAATGGAAGAAATATTTTTCATTCGGCGGCGTAGAATACATCAAAAGAAATCAATGGAATAATATCAAAAATAAATTTGTGAGTGCTGGCTACATGTTAATCTTATTAGCACACGTGGGCTCATTTGAAACCAATCCAAGAGTTTCAGTTTGAGTGTCCAAGCCATAAGGGCTTGAAAACTCTTAAACAATATTAACTATTTCTATAGAACTAAAATTCCAAAAGTGGCTCTCACCATAGTAACTTACCGGTTTCATGTTTGAACTCTATTAGGGAAGCGCAGTTTCAAGATAAGGCACCTTAAATTTTTTTTGTGGATGAACCGGTTTACAGGAGCACAGGAGCAGGAGAAACACCCGTAAGGTTTGGATGCTAGACGAACACTGAGGAGTCTGGCCCAAATTGGAGGTAGGAAGCATGGGAAGCTCTGCCGTTTGCCCACGACCATCTAGGCAGGAGATACAAAAAAAAAATAAGTTCGCTCATAGAATCAAACTGTACGGTTGTTCACAGATTTATATCAGCTGACGAATATATTTTTAACGTGGAAGTATCATTGAAAAATAAATATTCAGAATCTGTGAATTCTGCATTGTTGATTGCGTCCAGAGTAGATCGCCTTAGAAAAAGTTGGAATGTCTGTTTTTCACTGCGAAGCGAAAATTCTCGATTGAGATTTAGCCACCGAATTTTAGCGGTTATGCTATTTACCAAGCATGCGAAAATTCTTCCACTACCAGCATTTTAACGGCAAAACAAATGAAAATTGTCGAGCCTCTACAACTACAAATGATAAATTTCCAAGCTTTGCTAACTCTAGATCGAATTACGAGTTTCTTCGAATATCCAAAGAAATAATGCCACGGCGACTGCGTGTGCAGCGCTAGACACGCAACATGATTCCTTGTTCACATTTAAACATACACTAGGTTAACATAAATGATCTGACATAAAAAGTAAACATGCGGGTAACAATAAATGAAATATCGTTTCACGTAAATACGTGCGTAACAAGAAACGACCTGCCATGTAAAGGAAGCATGCGGTTAAAAAAGAAATAAATAAATAAGCGTATTCTCTTCCAAATTATGGCTTATGGTATGATAGTGCGCCTGTCTTCCGATGTAAATTGTTCATTATAACTTTTTTTAATTGACTCCATCGTGAACATATATTTTTAAAAATGTAATACTGATGTATAAGGGAAAATCATGAAACTTATTATTTTACACTGAGTGTGTAATTATTTCATTCAGAGGACTGTGAATTATTAGCAATCTTTGTTGATTTTATAAAGGAGCAGAAAGACAAAATCCATTATACAGGGAAAATTTGGATAATATCATTATATTTTTCGCAAATATTTAATGATTTGGTAAATAATTAATCAAAACAAGAAAATTGCCATTAAATCCAGATTTTTGGTTCAATTTGATGGCACTTATTCTACATCTGCAATCGTGTAACATTACTTGCCATAAGGGATTTTCTGATGCCCATTGTATGCCTACATCACTTGGTGGATGACACAACGTTCTCCTGTTGCCAATTGTGCACCTATATCACTTTCAAGCAGGTTTCATTGAAGACCAGAGAATTTGTTTTATTCGCAATTTTCTTATTAGTTTTTTCAATATATCGAACAATATTTTTAGTTTGAACTGGCAAANGCGGGCGCAGAATAAGACCTGTCTCTTATACACATTAATACTCGTTTAAAGCCTTAGCCGATTACTTTGTTTCATTCATATAGCTTTAACTTCCTGACTCATGAAGCTAATAAGGAGTCGGTTGAAGGTTTGTGGTTCTTTCAGTATGCAGTCAATCAGTAACTGGAATCTTGTTTTGTTCATAATGATGTTCCAAATAAGTGTTGAATGCCGCATAAAATCACTATGAAAACCGTGATGAAAATTAATGATTATACCGTTCGTATGCTTTTTTTCACAGTCGCTGATGAAACTGATTATTTGAATCTAATTCTTCAATCCATTTTAATTACGGACACAAAATGCTCGGTGCAGGCAGAAACCAAATCAAGATAACTTACTGAAGCAAAAATAACTTCTTGTCTACCACCATACTCGTTCTGGTTCTTTTATCATTACTCGCAAATTTGACGTGACCGCAGAAATAACCAAATAGTGATCAATAATGTTAAAGAACAAATGAGAAAATTTGTCCTTGAGCTTAACAATGACTGGAAAACTTAAACTTTACGAACAATTGTAAGCATGAAGTCACATGGCTCTTCATTCATTAAATCGTTCCCTGGCTGGTATATGAGAGCACGATATATGAATCAAGTTTATTTCATGCCGAAATTAACACAAAATCTGTAGTTTTTCAATTCCATTAATTTTTAATGGAACGTAATTCATTTCTTCAGTCCTCCATGTCAAATGATTTTGAACGATTTCAATGCGAAATTACTCATTGTAACCATTATTGATCCTGATAGGTTATTAATATTATTACATCCTATAAGCCTCGTTTATGACCTTCATGTACTTATGAGTCTAATTTACTTATTTTGTAGCTTCATGGTTTCACTTGACTCGTCTTCTGGTCGCATTCACAGTAATTAATAATAAGAATTTAATTCGTATTTATTCAGACCACATCTTCATTCCCATGGCTGATTACATCTTTCCCATATTTATAGATCTCGCCCCCCCCCACCTTGACATGTAATGGATTCCAATTAAATTGAATATGGATTCCATTGAGAATGTAATATAAGAATTGTTGAGAATTTATAAAATCTGTCTGTACAAACTTGCCGTTGAAGTTAAATTTGAAATGTAAGATGCAATTTTTGCTTTGTCTGAAGGAAATTTCCATTCGTTACTAACAACATAGAAGTAGCTATATGTGTCGAACCTGTCAACTCATTGCATGTAGTAAGTAAACTATACAAATTCACATAGATGGCCGATAGTTCATTGTTTCTATTAAAGCAGCTGTTTTAAAGCTACTGCTTCATGGATTCGCTTATCCAGCATTCAGAATATCATCTCTCTCCAATAAATTTTATTAAGCATGTTCCCCGATTTGTCTGTTGTAGACTTTTTCTATCGGTTCGAAATAAAGCTATTTCAAATCATGGGTTGATTAATAATAGCTTTTCTCAAGCTGGGAATGTTACTACACGAGTGAAAATCATGTATAAGAACAAAGATTCTCGACATCTTTGACGATCATGTCTGTAGGCCTTTTCCTTGCCCCTAATAAAGCGCTCAGATGAGATCCTATAGGCCTACCAGTCCGAGGCCTCGGCCGACACGTAAAACCTGTGCTACAATATACACGTAAAATCAAGCTTCTTTGAGCTTCCAATCCTTGTTCTTCTGGCATATTTCCTCTTCCTTTCTTAATGCCTTTGTCTACGGATCCATTATCCGCGCTAAAAGCAAATTTCTGTACACAGGTCAGCGCTAGAGTTAGTAGACAAAGATCAATTTCATTTGTTCGATTGATTTTCTGTATAAAATTTTCTTGAACACTAATGCATTCCAAAATTATTCCTCGTTATTGTTCGGCCAGAACATTTTTTTTTCAGAAATGATCTGGCACAGTTTTCGGTGCTAATCAATGCCCTACGTATTTTACAGACCACTTGTAGTTCATAATACGCTCTATACCATAGCACACCTAGCACCTAGCAATCAGTGTGTGCACTTATCTTATACAATTTTCACGCGCATTTGATTCCATTTTCTAAATAAGCTCTGATATAACAAATCAACTTTCTTCGCAAGAAAACACGATGCTCGACCATTAAACAATGAAGTATACAAGTATAAGACGTGAATCCCGGTAGAATCCTGTCGTTACCCACTAGGGCCAAAAACGCCAGAGTTAGACGTTAATATCATTGTAACGTTTTTTTTACTTATTAAATATTATCAAAGTCGAAGGAATGCTCCTACTTGAAATCTTTTGTTTATGTACTTTGGACATAATGCTATAGTAAATGAATGCTAGAATTAATAAATAATATACTAAATAATTTTCTGTGCAATAAATCCTAAATTTCACGCAAATTGGAAAACTTAAAAAAATCGAAGTTATTATTGATATAAACAATAAACATACCATGATTTGCTACTTATGTGTGCACTGATTGCTACATACAATAAATGACAGAATTTAGATATTTAGTAAATAATTTCTTCTTAACGCTAGCATGAGTGGCCCCAACGCAGGAAATAGCAACTTTCATTAAGTGGAGGCCACTATATATCCTGCGATCATTAAAAAGATCATTATTTCCATTACAAACTATTACAGGCTGTAGAGGTAATTCTTTTTCATCACAACGTGGTGTGTCAAAGATTCATATTTTGACGGTCATATACAAAGATTTGCTCGCTCGAAAAAATATTTGCACGAATGTTCTTAAGTAAAAATATCTGGAAAGATTACGAGCAATCAATTAATAAAATATATGCAACAAGTATGATTAGAATTCGACACATTTTTAATACAACCAGGACAGAACTAAGAGCAAAATAAAGTCCTTTACAAAACAAGTCAAGCGCGAACCCAAGTCATTCCTGAACTTCGATCAGTGTCGGACAGAATACAATGTTAACGGTTGAACCTTTATTGAATTGTCGACCACAACGAATTATCGTTTGATTGAAACTCCTTGATACATCGTTGATTTATGTGAAGAAGTGTTAAAGAGCCGAAATCAGCACTTTTTCAACTGAAGATTTACTATTTCGAAACTATATACAGAATTGTGCGAGCACAAGATTGTGCAGTTGCTTGTTTCAACCATCGACTCCACTCAGCCAGCAAAATGCCTGCTGATTATATTAATATTAGCAAAAAAATGTTTCAAACTATTTTCAGTCGCATCCTAGATGATCATGTAAATAAAAGATACAGAAAATTGCGCAAAATTTTTATGAGAAAATGTTAATAAATAGGAAGATTGGAGAAATAATTATAGTCATTGAAATCAGTACCTCATGAACGAGAATGAAAGCTAATTTAAAACTAAATTAATTAAAACTAATATTTTAAAATCAGGATGGAACCTTCAAAACAACACACAAATGCATTAAGAACAATGCATTGGCATCTACAACAAACGCACACAAACCACATCCTGTATAAATTGCGTAAATTTTTCTTAGCTCATTTAATGCCATATTGCCACATTTATCTAGAAGTGAATTAAATAATGAACCGTAAAATTCAATGCAGTAGCCCAATAGCAAGAAATTTCTACATTTAATTCACAAACAATTTTTAATTTTTCGCATAATGATTGAACTACAAGATAGAATTAGTAATTATTCATTATTCTGAAATAATTCATTTATGATTCTGCGATTCAAAAGTGCACTGAAATAATATTTCTGTGTTCCCAGTTATTTTTGGACAAATAAAGTGGACGGCTCACTTGATTCTATTTTTGGTATAATGCTAACTGACACACAACATTTTTTCTTCTAATGCCTGTAATCTATCATGAATAAATTAAGAACTTTCGATGTGTTGAATTTTCGTTTAGTGCTTGACGGCTCGGCTTGTGGAGTCGAGCACGGTCCCAGCTGCTTCCTCGATCAGCTGCCTGATCTGTACCAAAAAAAATTGTTTCAAAGTAATATTATTTTATATCAACAAAGTTCTACGCACTTTCGAAATTCATGAACGATTTTATTTATATTGTTTAAAATAATTCAAATGCATTTATGACGTTTAATTATGTTCATGTAGCGTACGAAAGTTTCTTATTTCTGGCTCTGAAATTTGAAGAATTATCATATAAATCGTCAGTTGAAAAAGGAACAATATCTGCATTATTTATTCAAATATTGCTGAACACCGTGACAAGCACCTGCGGAGAAACTTTCTTAACAGAAGTCTTCAGAATCTTTTCGGGCTTGCTGCTCGAATTGTTCTTACTTGAAGGCTTCAGGCTTCCCGTGGTCTGGAAAATAACAATAAAATTACTTAAACTTTGTGCTAATCTACGATCTAGGATTTTGTGTGCGTAATAGCCCTGTTTCGCTATGAACCAATTTGAAAATAGATAAGTGGATCATGAGATAACATTCCAATTAAATTTTGTGTGACGCTTGGAGTTTGTTGACGATAATCTCTCCTTGTAAGTAAACAGCAGTCGGTACCTAGAGATATTCGATTATTGGACATATTTTATCGGTATTTTTAGAATGCCTCTGACTGAAGTTAGAGTGACCTATTCCATTGATCAATCAATGGAATAATATTTTAATAATGCAATTTAATCATAACGATAATATTAAAATTAATTATTATATTAATAATAACAGTATTATTGAAAGGAATTAAATTCCTCGATCACTTGGATCACATGCACCGCGAGCTTCCGACTCAATATAGCTTCCATCTTGCTTAATCCAATCGCAGGATAAGCTATTTGCCAGAATATTTTCTTCTAGCAATTTGAACTGCGACAAGATAAAAAGTTTTTTTCGAAACTTCACTTATGATTCACAAATAAATTCAAGTATATATGACTTAACATTTTTTGTACGAATTGTACATATTATCATTTTTTGTACAAATGCGCAAAATATTCAGATGTTTGGTTACGACTTGTTTTAGTACAAACTATTCAACGTAGACGAGCAATGGATGCAATGCTCACCTTGATATCGGAAGGCGGGGAAATTTTTAGTCTGGCCACTTTTGCTTGGCCATTTTTGTTGACTTCGATAACTATGGTACCGTTGAGGGTGGTTGCTGTGGATTTCGCCTTGCGAACTTCTCCATCGTTGAACTGAAAACAAACTTAATTATATTCAAATCATATCATATCATATCATATCATATCATATCATATCATATCATATCATATCATTTCATATCAAATCATGACACATCATAGTGGTGTTGGCGCTGAAGAATTGGCCTGATGTGGCCTATTCTTGAATTTATCGTGACTTGTCCACAGGAGATCTAAAAAAATATAACTCAGTACTCAGTGACAGAGCGTATTTTGTCGTCGACGAAAACATGAAGTCACGGACGGAAAGACACACGGCCAGACGGACGGGCAGACGGACATGGCGAGCACAATTAGTGCATTTTTTCATAAATGAGAAAATGCGCTAAAAAGCTCCTTCGACGGGATTTTTCCAAACTGACGATAGTTTGAAATAGATACTACTAAACATACACCCGGTTCGCTGCTAGGCATTATGGCTTACATCCGGTTATGGTACTAGACATTTCAATTCTGAACATATATTTCTCCGTAGCTTTACCTAGTCTGCTCTTGAACGCGTTTGTACTCGGTGCATCAACGATGCAATCGGGTAGGCTGTTCTATGTGTCGGTGATTCGAAGCGAGAAGAAATGTTATAGCGTTGATGAGTTGCAACGCAATTTATTTAGTTAAAGCCGTTGCCCTTGGTGTTTGTTAGTAATTCTAGTAATCCTTCAGGGACCTTGTATAAACCATGAGTATACCTAGGTTAGGTTAGGTTAGGTTAGGTTAGGTTAGGTTAGGTTAGGTTATGCAACGTCTTATCGAGACGTCACATTAAGGTTAGGTTAGGTTAGGTTAGGTTATGCAACGTCTTATCGAGACGTTACCCTCGTACCTCTCTGGCGAGGTCGACTGTGACAGGTCCCAGCGTGAAGTCGCTGGTGATTCGCTGCGTGGATGAAGACTGCGACACTTCAACGGCCCCCTTCCTCAGGAGGGAGCTGAAGCCGCTCACTGACGCCTTGGTCTCGGGCTGTCCGGGCTTCTTGCCCTTCTTGTTCTTTTTGCCCTTTTTGCCTTTTTTGCCTTTCTGGCCTTTCTTTTTGTGCTTCTTACCTCCGTCCTGGATTTGTGAAAGCAAAAAATTAAAAAAATGCATAAAGAAATTAACAAATATACCGCTATTAAGTTTTCCACAAAATCAATCTTAAATTTCGGTGAATTATAGAGAAATTAAATTATTGAAATACGAATGACGAGCCAAAAAGTATTTTATTGCTCCAGGTCTTTAGTTAAGATGTTAGGATCAGGATTAGTAACATTTCAATTAAGATTTTTTAGTTCAGAAGTCTTTCAATTTACGTGATCCTTTAGCCTCCTTACCGTGTGCGGGTTAGAGAGCGTGAGTAATAACAATTTGAATATATTTTTATCATCACTCGGTATTAATTGCACTTAAACTACATCTTAATATTAATGCGAAAACCCCAAAATTGAAAAGCAATAAAATTTAAAGAGGCGCAAATTTCCGATCTCATTTAAATATTAGGGCTGGCTTAAAGAAGAAACATAGGTTTTAAAACCATCAATTAATTATTTTCAAATAAAATTAATAAGTAAATTTATCACTACGGACCACTTGAGTGTTGTCTTGGTCGGAGACGATGTCGGGAGATTGGTCGGCATCCTCGTCAACAAACGACGGCGCGTACGTCGAGTTAGCGCGCCCGTCTTGTTTTTTCTTGTTTTTCTTGTTCTTTTTATTTCTCCTGTTTCCATTTCCACGCTTGCCTCCGCCTCTTCCTCCCCCACTTCCAGTTCGCGTTACGTTGCGCTTGTTCTTGTGGCCTTTTTTGTTTTTCTTGTTTTTACCCTCTTTTCTGCGTAAATTTTCCTTTTCTTTTTTGTTTTTCTTTTGTTTCTTTCCTTTCTTGCCTCTTTTCATCTGCCTTGATTCCTCCTCAGGACCGTTTTCCACATCCGACCTTCGACCTTCACGAGATTTTCCAAGGTCATGATCTTCTTCTTCGTTAAATTTCATGACTTTTGACCTGCGGACGCTGGCGCTAACCTGGGATGATTTTTATATCTTTCAGGTATCAAGCATCTATTTTTCCCTCAATCCATGCGAAGTATTAATTAAAAAAATGTCACTGAATTGAAACTGAAAAAAATGTCACTGAAATGTAATTTCTTAATCATAAAATTTCTCGAATTTATTTTTAATATTTATGAAGAATTTCCTGAGACCTTCAGAGATAGAATTTCAATTGAAAAATAATAAATGGACAATTTATCAAGTAACGAATTACTGCTTGAAATAGATAAAAAGTTACTCAGCTAATACTTTGATTACAAACTATAAAGAAATTTAAAACTTAAAGTAATCTATGTCGTTACTTACAGCTGTTCCGTCCTCTTTGGCTGGGTTCTTCTCTGGGTAATCTTCCGTAGTTTTATCTTTCGAATTACCACCATCTTCCTCGGCCTTATCTGCGGCTTGTCGCTTAGCCCTGGCTCCTGGAGACGTCGCAACTTTGTGAGCAAACTCGTATTCTTCGACAAATTCTTCTTCGTCGTCGTGAATAGCAAGACTCAGGTCCCTAGGATGGCGTTTACTGCAAAATAATTATAGGATTGCGTGTGTTAAAAGATTAACTTTTGAATTTTTCAGGAGCAGGATAAGACGATGATAATTTAAAATCTACACCGTTCCACTGACATTACAAACATCCATATGTTATATGTTGTTTTCATGCTCTTTCCAAAAATTGCCGCAATGGAATTGGTGACAAAAGTGAAGATTGGTAAATTTCATTTATTTCATTAGTACGAAAAGGTTCGTACTTAAAATAAACTCTATTCTGCAAAGTTGATTTCAATAGATAATAATATACCTGCAAGCGATCGCGATCATCATTATAGTATGCAAGGACCACATCGTAATGGTCAAAAATTATTTTAGAATTGACACAAGATATTGCAGTAAAATTTTCATGATTATACTATAAAATGAACAAATTTGCCGGTAAACTCTTCAAATTTTTTCTAGTGTATACGTGCTATTTTTTCAGTCGGCACTATTTATAGAATATTGAAAGGTTTTGTTTTACTAATGCTGATTACTTACTTTTCTCGGCCGTCTATTTTGTCTTTCTCATTTTTATCCTTTTTGCCTTTCTTATGCTTTTTGCCTCTGTTCCCTTTAGCCTGCTTTTCTGTCCTGGATAATTTGATTTCTATTGATTCTCCATTTTCTCTAAGCTCGGAATTGATTCTTCGGAAAAGCACATCCATGAAGTTGTTGTACTTCTCGATGGTGGCGGGGTCTGTCACGGATCTGTTCTCGGTCTTGCCTTGCTTCGTGGCGTCGTCGCCTCGAACGACCGAAGTGCCTTGAGCCTGTCCTGAGGCTGGCGACTCTCGACCCCGAACTGTTGAACAGTCAACTTCTTGTAGATTATTTTTGATCTAAATTATTAATTTTAGACACACCGATTGTTGAATTGACGTGAGCATGTAACACAACTAATATATCATTTAGACATCATTGTCTCCATCTACCGACATTGGCTTAAATTCAATTGGATTGAGAGATAAATAAATCCGAAGTAGATCACATAACGACATTCTAATTTGTTCCAAATTATTTTAAATGTCAACACATTTTTAAATGGTAGGCACAAGAAATAAATAAATGATGAAATTGGTGCTAGCAACTGTTATACTCACATGATCGAACTTGCCTGTGGCTGCCCTCTTCATTTTCATCACCTGTTGAGAACAAAATTATTTGTTGCTTGCTAGAAAAAAACTTGCCTCTTTTATTCACAATTCTAAGTATCTGTAAAATATTTCTCAGATCAATAAAAAGCCCAAAGGTACCCGTTTTTGGTGGAAAAATCGCCGAGACCATATATATGCCTTTAAATTAAACTTTTAAATAGCTCTGAAACTAAATTCAATCAAAAAATTATTTCAAATTTTTACCAGGAAAATCTGGATCTTGATTTAAAATTTCCTCACTCTCTACGAGAGCCGAGAAGAGACTCTTCATGTCGATCTCTTCGTGTTCAGCGAAATCGTTTCCATCGCCATCTTCAGTCAGCTCGAAATTTGCTTCCTTCTCTTCAGCCGCTGTTCCAGCAGCGCTTGCAGTTGAGGAAGAACCGTTACCTGCCTCTGCTGGTGCTGGTACCGCAGCAGGTGACTCAGCTGCAACTCTTAAATGATCGCCGGGTCGTACATCTGATGAAGAGATGCCAGCAGGTGCAGCAGCTGCAACCGTTGAATGATCGCCGGGTCGTACATCTGATGAAGAGATGCCAGCAGGTGCAGCAGCTGCCTTAGCTGATGAATAAACTGGTGAAGCTGGGGCAACAAGCTCGATGACTTCAGCCGGCACTCCTGCAGCCAGCGCTGTCACCAGCAACAGGCTCGCTAGATGCAGTAACCGCATCTGAGAACAATGGAATATATTCAATAAATAAATTTATATTGTAAATAACGATACAACAATGAATCATGTATACTGAATTAGATATTTTCCATACTGACTCAAGTCAGTTCGTTTTGAATAAATTACTACAAAAACTAATTGTTCTCATTAATGAATTGGATTGAATTATTTTTCAACTAAGGTTTGTTTTTTAGGTTTCGTTTATGTGATCAATGAATGTAAACAAGTACTTCCTTATGATAAAACAAATGCTGACATGAAATTCAGTTTTTAAATTATACTAGTTTCATGATATTCATTATTGTTATCAGTGTACGAATAGAACACGTAATTTATTTGTGGAACATTTAAACAGGTTGCCCGATAAGGCTACGATTCTTTGCAATATTCAAATGCACTCACTGTAAATGATCTCTGAGTAATTCTGAATTTTTAAATTCATCAAAAGACGATGAAAAATTTTACTTAATATACCCTCAAAAATTGAGAGTCGGTGACAAATAAACAACGAAGGTTCTCATTAATTTTTCTTACAAAAACTTTTAATTTTACACATTTTTATTCACTTTTATATATGAAATTTTTCATCATGCTATAACTTATAATAATGATAATGATGATCCTCAAGTCATTCGGGTGCAATATTTTGCTAAAATCGATGGATGACTTGAAATGCAAAACTGCTGCGCCTTTGCGATAAAATCTATTTAAACCTCAATAACGGCGTTCTATGGTAAACTTTGATCACTACAGCGATCGTTCTGCCTTGAATGTTTGGCTACGCTGATAAATAGCGGTATACAGGGTTTTTTTACATCCCATTCATAAATATTAAATTCTAAACCTCATGTATTACTAGCAGGGGTGTTCGAAGTTACCCCATGTGAATAATCCCAGATAATCCTGTAATTAAATAATATAATTCCGGCAACAAAATCAAATCATCTACTTTCCTAACACACTACTTTCCAGAACCAAAGTGAAATGAGTTGATAATAAAACTTTTCAAACCATAATTCAAGTTGTCTCCGTTTGAATGAACACTATATATTTAAAGAGAATAATAATTTTCAATATGACATAAATGCTAGCCTCGCTAAGTTTTAAATTGAATTTATTTTAAACTTTTCAATCCAGTCCTCGTTTTCAGATTCCATCACCATGAGTGAAGGCAATAATATCCAATATAATATTAAACATTTCTGAACGCACCTTATTACCGTTTAATTAAGTTCAGTGTGAGCAGGAGCAATTGAGGCCACTGCCACACAGACGACGCTAGAACTGAATACGGACTTTGCACGTACCTGCTTTTATATACGCGCGTCGCACGGATGAGACCTCCGGGAACTGGGCATATTTAGAAAGCTACGAATCCGGCCGCTCGTCTGCAGAGGTCGACGGTGGCTTGCTCGTTATATCTCGGCACAACAATAATAATAATGACATTTTTGCTTTAAATTTTACATTTCGGCCTGATAGGGAACCGTCATTTTGAATTACATCGTTTAAATGAGCTCCAAATCTTACGATTGACGATTTATGATGCATTTCATCTAAAAAATACATGAGATTAATTTCCACCTAGTTTTATGATTCAATTTATTTTAACGGAACAGAAAATTTTTCAGTATAAATATCATGGAGTTATCAAACTTGACAATAATACATCAGAGCACTGGTCGCTCCACTGTGTGGTTTTACGTTTTATGACCGTTTCATGAACAAAGTTACTATCAAAACATAGTGTATGGGGAAATTAATATATTAATTCAGAACCAAATCGTATCATCACAGCGCGAACAGAACCTGATGACACTATATATACCTGTATATCGCGTGATAATTTTTTCGAACGCCCTATATATGATTGGTGCGACATTTGTGAAACTGACAGCTTTCGAACTCGTGGCTTGACCGTCTTGAAGCAGGATGCATCGATTAGCAAACCTGAACATCATTAAAGTTCGCCAGGGATAAATTATGAGCCCTCTTTCCTCAAACCTCAATTCAAAAGGAGATATATTTGGCTTTTTGAGGTATATTTTCACTGCAGATATTCAACTTTTGGTCGACACCTTTCTTCCTTTCAAGAAACCGTCCACCTACTGTTCCTGTCTCAATGCCGTGGAGGGCCTTACCGTGCCCAAGCTAATGTACGTAACTATTTAGTAAAATAATCTTGAAGTATCGCTTTCTCAACGGAATCTTGGACCATGTCACACATATTTTCAACTTTTGGTCGACATCTTTCTTCCTTTCAAGAAACCGTTCACTTACTGTTCCTGTCTCAATGCCGTGGATAGTCTTACCGTGCTCAAGCTAATGTACATAACTATTCATTAAAATAGTCTTAAATTATCATTTTCTCAACGGAATCTTTGACCATGTCACACATGCTTGCACATCCAAGGGGTCGCGTATTGTAGTTCCTCCATCGCAGTGCAGAAAGTGGGTCAACCGTTAGAGCCCAGCGTGCTGGCCGCTGTGGGACATGATCTTGGTCAGCTAGCTATTTAACGGCGTAACGGGCACAGACTTGCCCAGCTCATAGAGGCAAAGAGTTCGTCAGTCAACATTTTTGTACTCAGAAGATCTCTACTCAGATTCAGAACACGAACCAGAAATTAAAACTGTAGTGATGGATAAAGCGCTATATAGGCATCGTTGGGTTGTCTGAGTTAACTAGCTCATTGACAAGTAATATTAGTCGCAAAACATTAAATTATTAATTTTTTGAATTATTTAAAAAATTACAAAAATCGTTTATAATATTGACACTCATTCGTGTCCGTAAATTAAAATTTTGGTGTGGAATAGTATCCTGGCGTTATATGAAAATCCAACGAATCATTCTCATCTGTATCACGCGTTCACTTCTGTTAATTTGCTCGTCGAATTCTTTATATTCATCTTTAAGAAGAAATTGTGGAATCATCGAAGAATCATCAAATTTTGTTATTAGACTTCGTAGCTTCAAACTGTTATTATTGACAATTGAAAACTGCAAATTTTTTAATAAGTAATCTCAAAATAGTTCGCTTTCATAAAGCAAAGCTTTTTAAAGCCTCTCTGTTGTTGATTTGAGTTCTGATTGTATTGTTAAAACATTAGACACGAAACCGTTTAATAATCGTAACGATAAATTATAACTTTGAGACGACTTTCAATCAAGTACAGGGTGATTCACGGAAACTTCCTGATTTATAAGCTTAATAATAAAAATAATTAGTACAGATTTCATTACAATATAAATTTTATTGACAAAAACATTACCTGTATTTTTGTATCATCTACTCTGAAAGATGACATCGGACAAATGAATGCCCCCATTGTCAATGCATTTAGTTAGTCGATTTTTGAAGGTACGTTCGACTCGGTGAAGCTCATTGACGAGTATTTTGGCGATGTCTTGGCGTGCGATGGCTGGGATCGGACCGGCCAAAGAAGGTCACCTCTCAAAGAGATGAGGCTCTTCACAAAATGTCTCAGACGGAGACGACTCTGCAAAACGACCATTAGAAGAGCACGGCTCGATAGCAAACGCCCGCTGCACACTTTTACAATGCATAGCAGCAACTGACTAGGTGGGACACAAAACTTCATGACTTTGCTTTTCATATGAAATACTTTCCGCCCTTTTCTTACAACATGTGGCTGCTTGGTATGGAATACAAAGCAGGGAGTATCAGTAAATCAGCTGTATTTGTTAAATTTGGGTCATTGCTTCGCCAGCCGACAACAAAAGAATAACTCAAACGGTTGGAGCGTATACGATGCATGGTTGTAAACTTGTAGGATAGCTAGAGACGTCCAATGCTGATAAATTAGCTCATACATTTAAATGATAATGATGAGCTGATACATACCTAGTGCTGATAAATGAGCTCACACAAATTTGCTTTGCATGGATCATCGATAAAAATTAGCCTCAAATATATATAATATATAATCCCGAGACGCGGACCGTTAGACCAAACCCCCCGACACAGCCTGACCCACAACCTCTTCTGAATGCGGGATATGGTCGCGCTTCTCACCGCTATAGGATCTGCTTACTCGCAGCGCTGATGTTGGAACAGTTAAGTTAACGGAAAGGAAAATATTCCATTATTACAGCTTTTTACTAACCAAGTCGTGAGCGGCAATTAACTTTTGAGACCCAATACCATCCAGAAATAGAAAAACTCCCACCTTTCAATGCATAACTAATCTAAGAGAAATCAAACCTCTGGGATAAACCTAACTGATACCAAGCTTTGCTGAAATAAAAGTGGAACTAATACAAGCGGCATACAGCGTTCAGTTTATACATAGATATTTAATGTCAGGAAAGAGATTAATTAATAAATACGATGAGTACTCGTTTCCTCTTTGTTCACAAGTTCATGCTACCTCTTAATATTTATTATACTCGATACCACATTTTATCATTTAGCAAGGGGTCATAATATTAGTTTTATAGTTTTATTAGTAATATTCATAAAATGTTCCCAAAGAAACAACAAAAATTGTAACTCTAATTTTTAGCCGGTTTAGTTGTTTCTCAAATAAAAGACGGGTAATCATCGATGGTATCATAGACAATAATGAAAAGTAAAATTGATTTATGAAAAATTAAAACAATTGTGCATTCAGTTTTATTGAACCGGAAATTCTCATGCAGCCTACCGCAGAATTATTCACAGGTTCATCTATATAACTGAATTTGTGCATCCTGCGGTGAGAATGTGTAGAAGTAAAATATTTTCTATTCAAAGCTTGCAGATTACTCGTATCGTTAGGTTCTCAATTCATATTCCATTTGAATGTATAACAATGAAATCGTATTTTTTCAAAACATTGGGCTTTCCCATTTTTTGCAATCACGTATCTATGGCACTAATTGATAAATATCCATACAATTGTATTTCATTAGTTTCTTTCTCTATTGTCTTTTGGTAAATTTCTGATCTTTAAAACTCATTTTCAATAACTGAAATTGTTCCACATTGCAGTAATGAGTCAATGTATTTTTTCCAGACAGAGTAAAATTCTCTGAAAATCATAAACCAGAGCGTTCTGGACGACCGTAAGAAATGAACTATGTTTCAAATGAAAGTGGCTTGGAGTTCCAAATTACAAACAATGACCTGATGGCATTCCATGCGAGTTCGTCTGATCATCCGAATTTAGGCAAATCGTTCGCCCAGACCTAATGCCACAGACCCGAAATTTTCAGAACTGATCTTTTTAATTTCGAGTTGCAATTTTGCGNCGATCATCATAATAAGTATAAGATTCCTATATCTGCATACTTCCATATAGCAAAATAAGGTTAAATGCGTGTAAGGATTTGGGAACTCCATTAATTGTACTGTTACATATCGCAAAACTTGTTCAGGTGAAGTGATCTCTATCATAAATCTGTCTCTTATACACATCTAGATGTGTATAAGAGACAACATTAGAACTCTGACTTTCTCCTTAAAATTTCATTGAACTGATCTGATGGTGAAGCTGATCTCCGAAATGTTTTCGCTGCCCCTGAGAATATCGTAACGCAGGTTTATAGTAGCTGAAACTTCTCTATGATTGGAAGAAGTCCTGCTTAGCTGTCAATCTTCTGTCGGTGGATAGAATTCAATACAGAAAGAGTAGCTCCTATCAGCAACAGGTAAGTCCTAAAAGAAGGACCAATGTCCTATTTATTTCAATCACTATACAAAAAATTCATAGAATTAGTGTATTCCTAACCTTGCCGTCTTTCGACGGTCGCCAATTTTTCTCAAACTCAATTGGGAAATAGAGGGAATTTGCCCTAATTTTCCCAAGGCCCTGACTTGCTGGTGTTGTCTGATATTAATTTTATAAATATTCCACAAGTGATGAAGCAATTTTCTGAGAAGTAATTTCCTTACCATCGATAACATTGAAACTATATGTATTTGCAGATTTTAGTTTTGTTATACAATATTGCGTGTTCTGAAATTTCGATGTGCAATGAAATGTATAGGTTTTATGTCAACGATTGTGTGTTGTATTTCAAAGGGTGTAATCATGAATACTGTTCCAGTCATGGACCTCAACATCACTTGAAGTCTCTGTGGGCGTTGTGCGAAGAACGCGCGACCTGTAGATTGTGGATGTTATAGTGACATACGTCTTGGGTGTGCTGGTGTTGTGAACCAAATCGAGTCACTGACAAGTGGAACAGCCTCCCTGATGACATTGTTGACACTTAGAGTATGCACGCGTTCAAGAGTCAACTTGACAATGTTATGTAAACGTATA